TAATTTTGATTTAATAAGTGAAATAACTAACAACAATGTATTTCAAACATTTTCATTGACTATGTACCACAGTGGTATTTATCTGTCATCTGCATTGAGAACCACCAATGATATTATTTATAGCAGAACAAATTTTCCACTGAAGGAATATCCACGTTTAGTTTGCAGCAAATAGGAGCAAAAACGGGATGCAAAATGTGCTCATGTTTTAGTACAAATCATGAAGTTTACCATGTGTTTAAACTCTGAAACCACTATATCTATTTCTAGGTAGCTTATAGTTTAGACTCCAGGGTATTTCTAATGAGTGTAGCGGCAATATGCCTCCTTGTATTTCTGACAAATACAGAAGACTCCTGGGAAGTCATTTCATATTTCAGAGGTTCTAATTAGGGTCTGGGACTCAGCAATCTACCCACATTTCTCTGAATTGCAAAAACTGGCCATACTGTTATGATATCAGTACAGATTACCAAACTTGAGGGGATTATATGGCCCTCTGCCTTAGTAAGTGGGTAAATATACCGTAGGACTTCTGAATCTGTAGTTTCTAATTCTCATATCACCTTGGTGTATTACCTGCTTCTGACAGCACCAAGGAGCTGCTTTGTGACTGAGTATGCCTCAGGCCTTTTCTATACATAGCAATCTGCTGTGCTGTGACAAGATACTTGACACAGAGCTTTTCTACCCAGGAAAGTTAGTGAAGGTATATACTTTGAATATGCATCATAGTGCACAACCTGAAAATTACCCATTTGCTGTCCTTAAGAGACATCTGTTCTCTGTGATACTGTGTCATTACCTTGGTACTGATGCTCTCAGTTGCTGTTTATCATATCATCAAATACATCTTTTTATCAGACTCAGTCACTGGGGGGCTTAAAATAAAGTCTTAGATGTCTTTAGCTATAAACATTAGCATTTTAAACAATATATAAAAAGTTGAAAAATAATGCACTAGATAGTTGAACATCAGGGAATTTTAATTGAATTCAACATAGATTACAAGTTTAAAGCTTTTACAGAGGCTTAGGATATAGATTTAGACATGGATTTAGAAAAGGCAGAAGAATCAGAGATCAAATTGCCAACAAGTGCTGGATCACTGAAAAAGCAAAAGTTCCAGAAAAACATCTACTTCTGCTTTATTGACTACGCCAAATCCTTTGACTATGTGGATCACAATAAACTGTGGAAAATTCTGAAAGAGATGGGAATACCAGACCACCTGACCTGCCTCTTGAGAAATCTGTATGCAGGTAAGGAAGCAACAGTTAGAACTGGACATGGAACAACAGACTGGTTCCAAATAGGAAAAGGAGTACATCAAGGCTGTATATTGTCATCCTGCTTATTTAGCTTATATGCAGAGTACATCATGGGAAATGCCAGGCTGGATGAAACACAAGCTGAAATCAAAATTGCCAGGAGAAATATCAATAACCTCAGATACGCAGATGACACCACCCTTCACGCAGAAAGTGAAGAACTAAAGAGCCTTTTGATGAAAGTGAAAGAGGAGAGTGAAAAATATGACTTAACACTCAACATTCAGAAAACTAAGATCATGGCATCTGGTCCCATCACTTCATGGCAAATAGATGGGAGAACAATGGAAACAGTGAGAGACTTTAATTTCTGGGGCTCCATAATCATTGCAGATGGTGACTGCAGCCATGAAATTAAAAGATGCTTGTTCCTTAGAAGAAAAGCTATGCTCAACCTAGACAGCATATTAAGAAGCAGAGACATTACTTGACCAACAAAGGTCCATCTAGTCAAAGCTATGGTTTTTCCAATAGTCATGTATGAATGTGAGAGTTGTACTGTAAAGAAAGTTGAGCACCGAAGAATTGATGCTTTTGAACTGTGGTGTTGGAGAAGACTCCTGAGAGTCCCTTGGACTGCAAGGAGATCCAACCTGTCCATCCTAAAGGAAATCAGTCCTGAATATTCATTGGAAGGGCTGATGCTGAAGCTGAAATCCCAATACTTTGGCCACCTGATGCGAAGAACTGATTCATTGAAAAGACCCTGATGCTGGGAATGATTGAAGGCAGCAGGAGAAGGGGACAACAGAGGATGAAATGGTTGGATGACATCACCGATGTGAAGGACATGAGTCTGAGCAAGCTTCCGGGGGTTGGTGATGGACAGGGAGGCCTGGCATGCTGCAGTCCATGGGGTCACAAAGAGTCGGACTTGATTGAGTGACTGAACAGAACTGAACTGAGATATACCCACTACAGAATAAACTATTCATGCATCTTAGCAGTGATAGGCAAGACTGAATCTGACAGTAAGGCTCTATTACTGTGCCTCAACTCATCTTGCATGGCAGAGTATTAGTGGGACCTACACTTTAGGAAGTTTGGCTTCAGTGTGAGTGTTCAGGAAAGTAGATGAGAGAACCCCTCATTCATAGTTTACCAGTGATGGAAGATACAGTTCTTTATAAATCAGCTTGGTGAAGATAAATCTTATATACAAAAATATGGTACGATTTCTGTTGCTGCATCAAGACTACATCAATATGGTTTAACTGATAATTATCTTCCATTCAGTATCCTGAATAATCAAACTTTGCCTGGAGAGGTGAAAATACAGGTGTTCATGGCTTCCCAGGAATGCCAGTTGAATAAAAAACACCAAATTATACTTTGGTCTTGATGCGTACTCTTTTATTAATATATAGATTGAAATGAAACATAGTAGAACTCCTTAGTTAGGTCTTTAATTCTGTTAGCTTCAATTGTAGAGTATATGAGGATATCAGTGCAGGGTGACAATTAGATTTCAAGGCCCTGTTTCACATGATATTACTGTTAATGGAGGCTCTATTTTATTTTTATTTATTTATTTTTTTGGGGGGTGGTGATTTATGCATGTTGTTTATTGAACTAGACAAGTTAAAAGAACACTACTACACCTTACATATTTTAATTTCATTTTGAATATCCTGGTTTGTCTACTCTTGGTAAAGATTTTATTTTTTTAATATAAATTTATTTATTTTAATTGAGGCTAATTACTTTACAGTATTGCACTGGTTTTGCCATACATTGACATGAATCCACCACAGGTGTACATGGGGCAGCTCTGCATAATATGTCACTCATAGTCTGTCTTCCTGCACCTTGAAAGTAATAAAATCACAAGTGAATTAGTTTAGCGAACCCAAGAAAGTAGCAAGTAACAAAGTGTATATTCCAAATATTCTGATTACAAGTCCAGGGTTTATTTTGTTATTATCCTAGAAAAAATGTATTTTAACCTGGCAATGTGTCTGTGTGTGTTTTCTACAGTTTGTCTTATTTGATCAGCCTTTGTCTCTATCTCTCTGAGGCTGGTTGCCTTGGTTACCATTACATACACCCTCTTCTGTGAGGTTCCTCTTTGACGTACATTTATTTCTATGGAAACAATGAGGTCATTGGTATGGGTAGGTGCTTTAGAGAAAGCACAATGAAGTATTGAATATCCTTCTTTTGGTTATTACAATGTGTTATTAAATTATTTTTTAATTAGAGAAGTATATTTCTGTGTTCCTTTTGACTTGATCATGAAGCTACATTTTTACTTATTTATAGACTTGCTCATGGCAAATAGATGGGGAAACAATGGAAACAGTGAGAGAATTTATTTTGGGGGGCTCCAAAATCACTGCAGATGGTGACTGCAGCCATGAAATTAAAAGATGCTTGCTCCTTGGAAGAAAAGCTATGCTCAACCTAGACAGCTTATTAAAAAACAGAGACATTACTTTGCCCACAAAGGTATCTCTACTCAAAATTACGGTTTCTCCATTAGTCATGTATGGATGTAAGAGTTGGACTATAAAGGAAGCTGAGCGCTGAAGAATGGATGCTTTTGAACTGTGGTGTTGGAGAAGACTATTGAGAGTCCCTTGGACTGCAAGGAGTTACAACCAGTCCATCCTAAAGGAAATCAGTCCTGAATATTCATTGGAAGGACTGATGCTGAAGCTGAAGCACCAATACTTGGGCCACCTGATGTGAAGAGCTGACTCATTGGAAAAGACCCTGATGCTGGGAGAGTTTGAAGGCAGGAAGAGAAGGGGACAACAGAGGATGAGATGGTTGGATGATGTCACTGACTCTATGGACATGAGTTTGAATAAGCTCCGGGACTTGGTGATGGACAGGAAAGCATGGCATGCTGCAGTCCATGGGGTCAGTAAGAGTCGGACATGACTGAGTGACTAAACTGAACTAAGACTTGCTCAAATGCAATGACTTAAAGCATTAGATATACTGTTTAGCTCCTTCTTGTTTTATGTGGTGTGATAAAGATCACCACAGATATATATAACATAAAAAAATATATATAGATATATATATAACAATAAAAGGGTTGTGACTTAAACCTTAAAAGTCTGTCAGAGAGTGAAAAGTTTATCTCAGTAATATTTGTTGTAATAAAAAAATTGAACAAGGAATTCACATGAAGAAAATGAGCAATATTTAGATCAATCTAGGAAAAAAAAGGCCCTATTTATGGTCACTGTTTTTAAAATCTAGAGTTTTAGAAACACAGGGATATAACAGACGAGTGATAGTTATTAAAACATATTATCTATGATATTGGGCTTGCCAGATGGCACTAGGGGTAAGGAGCCCATCTGCCAATGCAGGAGACACAGCAGACACGGGTTTGATCCCTGGGTTGGGAAAATCCCCTGGATGAGGACATGGCAGCCTACTCCAATATTCTTGCCTGGAAATTCCATGGACAGAGTAGCCTTGCAGGCTATATAGTCCATGGGGTCACAAAGAGTTGGACCTAACTGTGCGACTGAGCATCATCTTGTGACATTAAATAAGTGTGTGTAAATATGCATATATATATATATATATATATATATAATTAGTATTCTGTTTTCAAGTTTTAAGAGCCTTTTAAACTCTTTTTTAAAGCATCTATTTTCCTCCCTGACTTATTTACAAACTAGTCTAATTTTTTTTTTTTCTTTATAGATGATGTGGAAACCTGCCTATGATTTTCTTTATACTTGGAGTGCTCACTATGGAAACAGCTACAGAGATGTGTTACAAGACCTGCAATCAGCTTTGGACAGAATGAAAAACCCTGTGACTAAACAGTGGCGAGACTTAACTGGCGCTTTAATACTAGTGAATTCTTTAGAGGTTTTGAGAGCAACTGCATTCTCCACTTCTGAGGAAGTATAGAAATGAAGGATACATTTTTAAGAGTAAGGAGTAGAGGGAGAAAGGGGTGTGTGAGAGAGAGAGAGAGAGGAAAAGAATCTCAGAAAAGTATTGCTTTTAAGAAAAAAAAAAAGTGTTTCCTGGTGAAAACATATCCTAGCACAAAATCCAAGGATGGGTTTTATAATCAAATATGTATTTTTGTGTCTTCCTTTAAAATGCAAGTATTAAGTTGCTTTATTGTTGAGAAAGGAAAGAAAAATTTCTGTTCTCCCTTTCAAAATTACTTTTAATTTCTTTTAGTTAAAACAAATGACTGTCAGCATCATTACATCACACAGAAACCCAGATAATCCAGAGGCTCTTAGTATAAACACTGGGATTTTTCCAGCAGACAGGTAGAGGAAGAGAAGGAAGCAATGCTCTGTGGCCAGGCACCAGACTACATACTTTCTCTACCTGCTGTCTTTTATTTCCAGTGGCATTTGCTAGGATTATTCCCATTTTTCATGTGAAGAAACTAAGGACTGGAGACGACAGTCAGGGCTGTCCAGCCAGTGTGAAGCAGGTTTTCTGTTTGCAAAATCTGGCTCTATTTTTTTAAGAAAACATAGCACATGGGAATATAGTTTTAAAAAAACAAAATGCATATTAAAACTTATAGGTAATTATTTCCTTTTAATTAAGCTCTCTGCTCTATTCTACCATCTCATGAAAGTGCCAGAAGGAAGATACGACTGGAAATCTGTTGTCTGCATCCACCAACTGGAATTTTTACCACCTTCCTCCATCATCTTGAGGTCTATCTAATCTTTCAACTTTTTCTTCAGGATCATAATGCTGAGTAATTCTTTTAACTCTCAAAAGATTTTTTTAAAAACAAAGATTATTTTTTAAAAGCCTGATTTATCGCTGCTGAATGCAGCCATCTTATCTACCAGAAACACTGATGCCTGTGTGTGTGTGTGTGTGTGTGCATGCTCAGGTGTTTATGTAATTATGTGTATGTGTGTATATTCCAGAATGTTTTATAAATCTTTTGGAATACAAAGATTGTATAGAAATTTAGGCAAGTATAAAAGCTAACTGTTAGAGAGTTGATAAGGGATGGTCTGTGCTTACTCCAGTGTTCAATCCTTTGGCTGCCTGCCTCTGTTTCTGTGTTTTAGACAGTCATTCATTTATTGTCGTTCAGTTGACAGAGTGTGTACCCACTCTGTGGCAGATGCATAGATGTTTGAGGTTAATAATGGGAGAAAAACAGCATGAACCCCCTGACTTCAGTATTGCTGAAGTGATAGAGGCAATGATAAAGAATTATACAATTAAATTTAAAACAGCATCTGCAATACCAGCTGCAGAGGAAAGGCTGGAATGCCAAGAGATATAGATTTGGAGGGGGGTGGAAATCATGCGGATCAGGGAGATCACATAAGTTTTCCCTGGTAAAGAAATGATGATCCTGAAGGAGGATCAGACATTGCTTCTTGTCTGGAGAGGGTGGAGGAGGCAATTCCTCAATGCCCTGAAGACCTCAGGCAGGAAGGGAGCTCAGGAGATGCAGGTATCCAAGGTGAAGGGCTGGAAAGGGTGAAGGAGTGAAGCAAAGAAAGAGAAGTCTTCAAAGGTAATGCGGATGAGCTGAATAAGGATTTTATTTAGGGATCCTGAATAAAACATGTCCATTTGGCTAAAAAGTAAAAGCAGAATCATTTTAGAGCTTTTAATACACCCACCCTGAGGTATTTGGTATGCTGGCAAAGGTAATTTGAATTAGGATTTAAGATCTTTAAGGCTTTTAATATTTGTATTTGATGATAAGTGAATACAGCCTGCCCAAGGAGTTATGTACATACATTCAAGGACAGAATTTATTTCAGTTGAATTCAGGGAGAAGGGAGAAAAAAAAACAATCTGTAAGTTTGGAACACAGTCATTTTTAGTGGTGATTTTGCTTTTGCTTTCTTTAGAACATTCTTGGAATCTTATTAGCATGTCAGCAAACCAGAGAATTTCGGGAAAGGATAATAAGGAATTAATAACTGGGTTTTTCCAGGCTCTAAGATCTGAGACAACAGAGATCTTGTGAGTTGATTAAGGCAGTAAGATTAAATAAATCACTCAGGTTTATCACATCATGTGTTGTGATTGTGGTTGGGAAGTTTAAGAAGAGTTTTAAAAATGAACAGCATTATCTCTGTAATTTAAGGATGAAACAACAGTTTAAATATTAATATACACAAAGATATCTTACAATCTCATAACAAATCCTTTCAGAGGAATTTTAAACCCATGTCCAAACATTCTGTTCTTTTAAATATATTCTAACATTTTTATAAATCATTTCCACTTTTCTGAATTTTATATTTTTCTTCCTATAATGGATTTTCATAATCAGAAAAGATTAGCTCAGTAATCACAAATTGCCTTTAACATTTGGCAGCAAATCAAGAGAATTAATAAGGCAATTAAATCCCATCCTTGACATCATTAAAAGCACCAAAAGCCATTAATGTAAAACTTCTTCAAGCATTTGGAAACTGGAAAAAGCACGGCTGATTCCTTCAGTTCCTCAGGCTTTTCGTCTAATGATGAATTAGGATGAGATTCTTGTTCAGTGCTCAGCTTGCAATGTAGTAATTTTTCTATGTAAGCCACAGACCCTCTACTTCCTTCTGGTAAAGCCGTAATATGAAAGTCAATTAAGGAGGCACAAGTAACAGTGCATCATTAACTATTCATGCCAGTCACATGTACAACACACTTTCATGTTCTGTAATGTAGAAAATACCACATGAAGTTTTCAAACTGGGGTAACTAGGTCTCTGGAAGGAGTAGAATGCAGTACATTAATAGGCGGTGTTTGTCAAAGAAATTTTGCTACTGCTAAATAGCTTTGAATATGTTATATGTAAATACAATGAAGAAAATACTTTCAAAATCATACAATACTATACATAATTGGATGTTTCAAAATGAATTTTCATACTGTGCTGTTGTAAATATATTTCCTATAATTTTTTCATGTCTAAGGAATATCTGAAGCACTATAAAGGAAAGGGAGATAATAAAAATAAGGCCCCGAAAGCCTTTCCAAGTAAAAAAAAATTTTTTCTTTTTATATCTACAAACTTCTTCCCCTTACTTCTGTATGAAGTTTCCTTCATGTGCTGCTGTATAATTTAGTGAATTCCAAAGTTCTAAAGAGGTGGGGTTAACCCAAAGCCTTTCTTCAGAATAACATAATTGTTGAAAGTTGGTTTCTTGCATGCTTATTTTCTAGTCCACAACATGAAATATAAAGTGACTATGGAGGGAGGAGCCAAGATGGNAGTCCTTAGGGTCACAAAGAGTCAGACACGACTGAGCAACTAACACACACACACACATTCATGAAGGACTGATGGAGAGATTAGTACTGGGTAATAATTAGTAATGGTGAGCGAGAAAGTTCCAGAGCAAGCAGTGCTGTTGTAGTGGTGAGTACAACGTGAAAGGCTTCTTCTATAAGATACTAGTCCAGGAATTGCAGCTGTGCCTCTAATTTTTTCCTATCACATCGTAAAAGACTTTTGACCTGTCATTCAGCCTCCCCAGACTTCAGTTTTCTCATCTATAAAATGAGGGGCTCGAACTGGGTAGTCTCTAAACTCCTCTTAGGCTTAAATATTTATGAGTGTATAATGAATGGGATATTTTATGGGTTTTATAGATTTATTTTGCTATGAGGGAAAAATGTAAACTAAAACTTATAGCCTGAATATCAATTATTTACATTAACATAAAGTCCTGCATGTGTGAGGCATAGCATACGTAAGCTCACTAAGCACTGTGCAGATACTATCTCATTTATTACTCACATAGCCTAATGAAACTGGTTACACAATATGCACTATTTTGAATAGTTGAAAACCATCAACTATTCAGAACAAACTAAACTAGAGGTATTAAAAGGTCAGCAATGGTTTTGCTTGGAGCTACCGAAAGCACACTATCAAATATGCTCCCTTCCCATTGCAAAGGCCTTAGACCAAGCAACCCCTGTGCAGAGGTTCTTCAGCTTTAGCAACTGCAGGATCACCTGGAGGCCTTATTGGAACATAGACCTCTGGGCTCCACCCCACAATTCTGATTCAGCGGGTCTGGGGTGCTGCTTGAAAATCTGCATTTCTGTTAAGTTCTTAGGTGATAGAGATGCTGCTGGTCCAAGGACTCTCCTCTGAGAACCACAGTGTTACACATCCTTCATCTCTAAGAATAAAGGAGTCTTTATAAAACCAGAAAACCTTACTTCTGGGTAACAAATTTTTATGTCACTCAATCAAGAAAAATAGTTTTTGAATTAAAAAAAAATTAGATTATATAATGGCTCCATTTTTATATATAAAGTGAACTCTTACATGAATTCATAAAAGCTTCAAAATGAATTTTATTAGAAAACTAATTAAAATAAAGATCTCTGTGTCTCATCTAAAATGTAATCACATTTGAATAAAAAGATTAATAATTTGAGAAATTTATTGTGTGTTAAGATGATTTTGCAAAATATATGCACTTGTTTCTATAAAATATCTTGGGAGAAAGCCTTGTTTTTACTGCCCCATCACTTGTTAAATGTCTTGCTGAATTAATTTTTCCCCATTTGGGAAAAAATAAACGTTTCTAACGTGATCAATACACCCATCTCCATGCCCCACTTTCTTTGTAGAATTACAAAGTGACCACAGACATTGTTGATAAGGTAAGATAGATGTTCTCTTTCCAATGAGTAGTTTCACATTTAAAGGGATGGTGACTCTGATAATAGGTGATGAGCTGAACAACCTCACTTTGACATTAATGTATCATATCTTTTGCTAAAAGATTCTTTTTAATTACTTTTTAAAAAAATTCTTAGAGACATTTGAGACTCTCTTTTGGCACTTGGAAGCAGATTTTAAGTGTTCCTCATATGTAAGTTGACATTTAAACCCTTGGAATGTGCTGAGACGTTTAACATATTTATATAAATATGATTAGTAGTTGAAAGTCAAACTTAGCCATGATGATATTACTCGTTTTACTTAAGCTGATTCTGCAAAAGTCAGTCATTTAAACAGAATTTGGGATTGACAAGTTTGGTATGATGTTGACCTTACACTTATTAGGTTAAATGGCACAATAAAATTATCTTTTTTTTTTTTTGTATAGTAGCAAAATTCATTTGACAGGAGGGAAATATACTTTTATTCCAGAAAATGTGTATTCAATACTCACCCAGTCCCCTTTATCTCATGGTGGAAAGCAAGGAAAGTGTGAAGGGGAGATAGGAAACAGTTTGATTATGGTCTAATGAAAGGAGACTATTCAAGGACAATGGAAACTTCTTTTTGCTGGTCTTTTTAAAAATGGAAAATATATGTCATTGATTCTCTTTATCTGATCAGTAATAACGTACAAATTAACTATTGCTTGGTTTCCTCTGGATGAATTTAATGCTGCTTAAAACTGTTCCTTGAAACTATTAAGAAACTTCACTGGAGCAAACACAGTGGCTCTATGTTAAGATTGTCATTTAGCATTCTTTCAGGAGCTGGTGTCAGAAAACCGATTGAACAGGTTTAAGCACAAAGGATTTATTGTCTCTCACAATTGAAAACCTCAAAGGCAGTTTCAGACATTCCAGGATTCTGGGCTCTAAGGGTGTGATCAAATTGCCTGTTTGTTTTTCACCCTCCTCTGACTTTGATGATCTTAGTTTCATCCTTGGGCTCCACAAAGCAGCCCAGCAACTCTGGGCTCTCCCTTCCTGGGACCTGATAACTGTGGCAGCTCCAGCCTCACATTTCTCCACTTCTAGTTTCAGGCTGTGGTGACTTTGTAATGTGTCATCTGGGCTAAACTAAACGATGTTTCCCCGAGTCCTTCTCACTGACTGTTTCCCGTTAGGGTTAGTAACAAGAGTCATCTGTGGACAATTTGGGAGATCACTGTGGAGCAGTAGCCACTGTGATTCTTGGAAGGTGAATGTAAGGTAAGTCTCCTTGGCAGCGCCTAACTCAGCTTTTTGGTGAGGGGCAAGTGACTGGCTTGCCATTCTGCAGCCAGAGCACCACTTGTCCTACGGATTATCCACAGCAGCAAGGTTGCAGGCTTGGAGTCAGAGAGGGACCAACAAGGGTGCCAATAACAGACAAACGAGATTCTAGTTGTCCCTGCTCTACCTCAGTCAAGTATTTATCTTTTCTTTCCCTTAGCCTGACCTTAAACTTCACACTCAGTACCATAGAAGAAAGAGCCAGGCCAAGACTCTGACCAGGTCTCACGTATGGATCAAATCAAATCACTGCAGTAAATCCTTATTATATATCAATGCTGATGGTTCTGCTTTCCCTATTGAACGTTGATAGGTAGGGCTGCTGCTGCTAAGTCGCTTCAGTCGTGTCCGACTCTGAGCGACCCCATAAGACGGCAGCCCACCAGGCCCCGCCATCCCTGGGATTCTCCAGGCAAGAACACTGGAGTGGGCTGCCATTTCCTTCTCCAGATAGGTAGGGCAATAGTAAGTATTTCCTGATAACCCCAGTAGAAGAGTCCTTCTGATGAGACCAGTTTAGGTTTTGTGCTCATCTTTCAGCCAATCACTAAGGGCTGTAACCAGGGATCCTTTGGTCAGACCTAGGTCTTTTGAGCCTTCCTTCACCCCCACCACCACCCTGTTCAAACCACTGGATTTGGGAGTCTTGGTCAACAGGTAGGATTGAGTTTTGTTCCTGGAATTGGGAGGAGGTGGATGTTGGGGATGTCAACAGCAATTTTCCATTAAAAATGTGATATTACATAACCTCAGCACTATTTCCTATACCAGGAAAAACTTTTTCCCTCGAGTGTAATTCAAGACTCTAGTCATCTGAGTCCTTCTCACGAGACTGGGCAGTGGGCCCACTTCTATAAACTTCTGCACTAAATCAAATGCTAAGTAAGTGAAACCTCACCAGCAATCTGCCCTTCACATACCACTTTATAAAATATGGATGACATGGCTGAGCCATCTAGAACCCCATCAAGATTCTGAGTTCACCTGACCCAGCAGGTGCAGGGGCAGTTCTATTACTCCTAATTGTTCTCTTTTAAGCAGAACCTGTAACTTAGTCAATGCACCTCAACTGCTGCCAGAAAGAAGCTGACTGGGAGAGAGAGAGAGAGGAGGAATTCCCAGAATGACTGAGATAAAATTGTAGTTCAGATTGAGTGGCAGGCATCACTTGCCTGTGGGCGGGGGGGAGGGAGGGGGAATGATGGCAAAATCCTTTGAACACTCTCTGAAAATTATGAAAGCAAGTCCAAGGTCAGGAGTATTTCTATCTTTCTCAACCATCTGACTTTTCATTGGAGACCTTATCTCTACTTCTGAATCAGTAATAACCTCTAAATGCTGCCCAAGGGAAAAGTAGAACAGCAGTGTGAACAAAGTAAATCAGATGATTCTAAGACAGCAGTGAAAAATAGGACAAAGTGATACAAAAGGGATACATGGACAAAGGTAGTGTATTTCTTTGCTTGTTTTGTATACAGAACAACTTTATAAAGATAAAACTCACAATTCGTCTGGTCCATTTTTCAGAGCCTATAAACATTATCTTTCTTAATACAAGTTTCTGTTTAATATGTGTTTAATATATGTTCACTTATAGTCATCAATTACCCTGAGTCAAGAAATGTTCTTCAGGAGGGAATATCATATTGTTATGTTTTTCAGGGTGAAATTAAATGCTGTGGGTTGTGGAGAAATAAGAGTTTACTGAGCAAGGTTATTCAGGAGAAGATGAGAGAGCACTTGATGTTACATTCCTAAAGCTATTTTCAAAGAGGTTTCACTGATAGGTTGGAAGAAAAGAATCTAAAGTCCTACTTTCATATTCTTACAGAATGTTTCTATTTATTTCCATTTGGACTGCTGAGAAGTTTACTATATGCCTAGGGATAACAGTCCAAGTTCTCATGTGAGAGCTGAAAACTCCTGTAAGTAATTAATCCAATGCCCTGGGTTCTTGCCTTGAGCAAGGTTCTAAATCATTTT